GCAAGTTCGCAGAGTTTCAACAGCAGGTTAAGCGAAATGAAGCTAGATTGGGCGCGAATAACGCGAAAACAGAGGCCTCTATGCAACGCGAGGGCGCGAAAGATAGAATCAAGGAAAGTTCGAGGAAAGAGTTCGACTGGAACGAATTCAACGAACGATGGACAAGAATGCGTGAAGCAGGGCCCGAGCGCGAGCGAGGAAAGCGAGCGTTGGAGTCGGGAGAAATGCTGGATGCACGCAAATCAGAGCGAAATCGAGGAGATGGCCAAGGGAGTCCGATGCTCGGGCGTGAGTCGAGAAGTAAATCGACGAGAACGCCCGGGGTGGATCAGCCGGGCATGAACTCGATGGAAACTGCAGAGACCGCGCGGTCTTCGAGAAGTCCAGAGAGGAAGGCGGCGCGTGCGCGGCCGGTTCCGGAACAAACTCGGACTGAGAGATCGCCTCAGCAGGCTGGAAACTCAAAAACTGACGACCTTGACGGTGTAGACGAGACGTCGTCGCGATCCGTCACCTCGTTCAGGGAGTTTATGGTGCTGAGCGGAGAGGTAGCAGCTAGGGCGACACCGATTGCATCGGGTTTGGAAGCGTCGGATGGCGCAGGATGCGAGTCGACACGCAAAGATTTGACGGATAGTCGGGGGAACGAGAAGCGAGGCGAGTCATCGAGAACCGGTGTAGGTTTCTCGCGCCTCTGTGTTCGTATTTGCGTGGACGAACCAAAAGTGGACGCGGTGGAAAATCGCGAGTTGCTGGTAGTCCATATCGCGGGGAAGCCATACAGTGTGCTGTACGATTTAGGAGCGATGGTGACTATCGTGGGCCCGCGTGTACGCGGCGACTTTGTAGACAAGATTGAGCTGTGCGACTTCGCGTTGTTCGGGTTTTCGGGAGCGAAAACCGGGATCGTGTGAAAACTTCGGCTCAGGGTTGAGATCGACGGAGTGTCACGAATAATCGAAGCGCGAGTCATGGATGTGCCAGTGCAATACGACATGATAATCGGGATGAACTTCATTCAGGAGTTCGGCATTGGCACGGATCATGCGAATGGGAAATGGCATATAGAGGATGGCCCTTGGCACTGGTTCGCGGAGCTGAAGCGCGAAAGAGTGGAGTTCCCGAGTGAGCCTGGGCTCGCGCGTGTTCGCGTTAGAGCCGAGGTCGCGGGGCTCTCCGAGTTGCGATCTTCGCAGCGCGAATTAGTGGAACGTCTAGTGCGGCGGGTGGTACCCGAGAAGTCACCTGCGCGTACGCATTTAATCAAGCATGAGATCGACGTGCAGGGCGCACGACCAGTAAAAACTCCCTTAAGGCGATATTCGCCACAGGTGATGGAGTTTATGCGAAGCGAGACAAGGAAATGGCTGGAATCGGGACTAATCAGAAAATCCACAAGCGATTGGAGTAGCGCGCCGGTTATAGTCAGAAAACAAGATGGCACGAATCGAATGTGTATAGATTTAAGGTCAGTGAATAAGGCGACGAAAACAGATGCATATCCGATGCCGAGCATTGACTCAGTTCTCGATCGACTGCGTGGGGCGCGTTATACTTCTAAAATCGACTTGAAGAATGCGTACTTGCAAGTACCGCTAAGCGAGGAGAGCAAGAGATATACGGCATTCGCAGTCCCGGGATTAGGGTTATTCGAATGTAATTACATGATCTTCGGATTAGTAAATGCTCCGGCGACGTTCATGCGACTGATGGATACGCTTTTCGGACCGGAATTTGAGCCATATGTTTTCAAATATTTAGACGACGTAATCGTAGTAACCGGAACTTTTGATGAGCATTTGACTTGGCTTGAGCGAGCTCTACAGAAGCTGGTAAATGCGGGACTCGAAGTAAACGTGATGAAGTGTGAATTCGGGTGCTCCGAGGTGACGTTCTTGGGATACCGATTGGATAGTCAAGGATTGCGACCTGATCCGGACCGGATTAAGCCGGTGATTGACTTCCTGCAGCCCCGAAACGTTAAGCAGTTGCGACGTTTTCTTGGTATGTGCGGATGGTATGCGCGATTTATTGAGCATGAGAGCGAGATGAAAGTACCGCTCACGAAGCTTACGCGCAAGAGCGAACGTTGGCACTGGGGGCAGGAGCAAGCCGAAGCTTTCGAAAAGCTAAAGAAAGCGCTGACGGAGGCGCCGGTTTTGGCGAGACCCGATTTTGCGAGAACTTTCTTTATTCATTGCGACGCATCGTCGTATGCGTTAGGTGCGTGTCTAATTCAGAAGGACGAGGATGGGTTTGAACACCCTATTTGCTACGCGAGTAGAATGTTGAATGTGCACGAGCGTAATTATACTGTGTCGGAGTTGGAATGCGCGGCTGTGATAATGGGGATTAAAAAGTTCCGCCCTTATATTGAGGGAGTGCATTTCGTGGTAGTCACGGATCATACGGCACTTACTTGGCTACGCAATAAGAAGGAACCTACGGGTCGGTTGGCGCGGTGGGTTCTAGAACTCCAACAGTACGATTTTGAAATCGTGTACAGGAAAGGTCGCCTGCCTCATACGCCGGACGCGTTATCGCGCGCGTATGAGGACGGCGAGGAAGTAGCAGCTTTCGCGACGATCAAGGACCCTGAATACTTGCAGCGCATGAAGGACGTACTTGCGAGACCGGATAAATTTCGGAATTGGCGAGTGGAGGACGGAATGCTGTATAGATTCTCGTCTGATAGGTTACTTGATCCGGTTACAAACCGTGAGCAGTGTTGGCGCTTGGTGGTACCGATAGAACACCGAGCTCGAGTGATGCGAGACGCACACTGCGAGCCCTCGGCAGGACATTTCGGAAGGGATAAGACCTACGATAGAGTCGCGAGGGAGTATTCATGGCATGGAATGTATCACGATATCACGGAGTTCGTGCGTTCATGCGAGGAATGCCAGAAGTACAAGATCGAACAAAAGCTACCGATGGGATTGATGAGCAGACGTGTAGTCGAACGACCATGACTAGTGGTAGCGGCAGACGTGATTGAACTTCCGAGGAGTAAAAATAGGTTTAGATACTTAGTCGTGTTTCAGGACTTGTTCACGAAATACGTGGAGTTTAAACCTCTTGTGTCAGCTACGGGGAAAGCTCTCGCATAGGCTCTTGAAGAGCTTATTTTGTATCGATGGGAGATACCGGGGTATATTGTCACGGATAATGATAAGAATTTCTGTGGGAATAAGTTTCGAGCGACGCTAGACGAGTACAAGATTGAGCACGTACTTTGTCCGCCGTACCATCAGCAGGCGAATTTCGCCGAGCGAGCGATTAAGACGCTGAAGCTGATGGTGGCGATGTTCGTCGATCAGGATCACAAGAATTGGGATAAGTATTTGCATGTTCTGGCAGGCGCTGAATACGACGATACAGGCGAGCACAAAAGTCTCGCCGGCGTTCTTGAATTTTGGCCGCGAACCGCAGCAGGCTAAAAGCCTGCGTCGTGAGGTAGAAACGCGAACGCCGATCATCCGCTCGTCGATCGAGGATTGGAGCGAGCGTATGGCGAGACTTGATGCGTTACGCGATCTTGTGATTAAACATATTGAAGAAGCGCAAAACCGTCAGAAGAAACATTATGATAGAAAACGTCGAGACGTAGAGTTTTCGGTCGGCGATCTAGTCTTGAGGCGAGCACACACTCTGTCAAGCGCGAGTGCGGGGAAAAACGCAAAACTGGATCCGCGATATACCGGTCCGTATAAGATTTTGCGAGTGGTTTCTCCGGGAATTTATATGCTGACCACGAATAACAACAAGCAGGTACCAATGGCTCATGTATCTGAGCTTAAAAGATACGTGCTTCCTCGAGGTACGAGGAAAGGTAACAGCCGAGAGTGATTTGTTTGTTGTGTGATGTTTGTGTGAGTGTGATGTTTGTATTGTTTATTTTATTTCTTTTATTTTACGGACGAGTTAAGAGGTGACCAGAATCCAACGCCAGGCATGTGCCCTATTGAAAAAATTCACCCGATATTTGTGCCCGTTAATCACGCCCGTGATTTCTGCCCACAAATTTGTTTCAAAATTTTGCCCGTAATTAACGGGCACAAAAAACGGCTAAAAGTGACGGTCAGGCATCAAAACTAAACCAAAGAACGCGGTTTTCATAAAGTAATAGAGAGAAGGAAATTGAATGAATAGAAAATTGAATGAATAATTGTACATTTATTGCGATAATAAGATAAAATATCCTAGCATTTGTCAGAACTTTTCACATTAGGGCAGTCATTTCGGGTGTTGATTTATCGAGTATTTCAGTATTCAAACGTTGCTTATTACTATGTAATCTTCATAGTACATATAATATGATATAATGATATTAATATATCATTAATCTAAATATTTTGAAGTACCAAATTAGCAATTGTAGACTTGATACAACACTAGTATCACAATATGTATATAATACTATAATATTATTCGTAATAAAAGCTCATGATGGTATCTTATTATGACTTTCAGAAGCTTACTTGATTGAACTAACAACATACATTTGCTATAAATTTAAATGCCAAAACCGTTATATAATTCCTATATGAGTACAATCTATAACAATAATTTCAATTATTAAGTATAGTAATACTTAGTATCTTAAACTTTATGTTTAGGTGTTTTTGTATATCTTATATTTTTTGGGCTATGAAGTTTGTAAACGAAAAAGTACGAACATTTTTTAAATAAGAGGTTAAATAAAGTTAAACATTTCAGAATAAGAGGCGTTCATAAAAACAAATATTATGAAATTTGTAGAAGAAACAAATCTTAAAAAAGAAAGCTAAACTTGATTTTACATTGAACACTCCTGCTATGCTTAATGGTTACGCTAATCCGTATCAGAGGAAGACAAACTTGAACTTTGCGCTCTTGCGGAAGCTTTAGCAGCTCTTTTGAGATTCAACGATTTTTCATGCCTTCGCACTGAATAAAATGTTAATTTTTTATACATCCACTCAATTTTTTTCAGATGAAACAACAATTCTGAGACTCACTTTTAGTTTTCTCACGTTCGATTAAGCTGTTTATATGGTCACTTATGTACGTTTTCCAGTGATTTTTGTGATATTTTGCTTGCTTTTTATTCTGAGAAGTTTTATCAACCCAGCAGAAAAATGTTTCTGTAACAAATTATTGTATTCTTTGAAATGTCATGATCAATGTCGTCGTAATAAAATATTAAACATACTTCTGATAGCTGCTTTCTCGTCAGCTGAAAATTCTGAGCGAATCCTACCAGGTATACGGTCTCGTTTGCAACCGCCCAAAACAAATGCTTTGTCTATTAAATCCTCTTCTTTGTACAAAGAATGTATAAAAAATTTGATATACTCCTTAGCATCAAACATTTTCTTCATGGATTCCCAGTGCTCGCGTTTAATGCACACTCCATGCTTTAAGTGATACATTTTTCTCTAAAAAATAGTCGAGGATAATATTTATAAACCTTGTATAAATGTGTGCTTGTGTATTTACCTTTCTGCCACTGTTTTCTTCGAACCCTTTGTAATCTTGTACATGGAAAGTTGATAAATTATCTGAAAGATACTCATCGTCACTAAGCCTGGTGAATTTTTTTCTCTCTCTGCCATTACCATCCTCTTCATTCGTCTCTGACTCAGAAGAGTGCATGTTCGCATATTTTCGCATTTTTTGATAACCGTCATTTCTTGTGCCTAACGTTTCTTTTAGTAATCAGCAAAATATAGAATAATTTGTTTTTGTGTATTTCGCTTTTTACCTTTTATTTTATAATGGTCTTCATCCTCTTCACTTTCTGAATACGTACGTTGTTTAGTCGTTCGGGATTTTTGTTTTCTATCCTGCTTGGTTTGTGGATGTCCTCCGCGTTGGGACTCGTCAGCGCTTTTACCTTGATGATGTCTTTTTTTCTGAACCACTGGATTAACATAAAAAAATTTATTACAAGATAAGATATAAACAAATTTATAAAAAAAAGGCATTAATTCGGCAGAGTTTTCCAAAAATTTCTTTAGAAACGTGAAGAAAAAGTGGAACATAGCTAAACTCGTTGGGGAAACCCTTTTTTAGTCGACAAAAGTACTAAAATTCATTTCAAAAATATACGACTTCTTGTTCTTTTTTCATGATTTACCAAAATCTGGTAAACGATAAAGTGAATCGGAGCTCATATTTGAATTCCTCGTTAAAAAATACATTGAAGACCATATTTTGTTTATTTTTTAGCCAGAAATTGACTCCTCCAGAACGCGGCAAACCATATAAGCCCAAAAAAAACGTAAAAATAGTAAAATTTCCAACATTTTGTATGTTTAATTAGTATTTCTGTTCTTTCAAGGCGATAAGAGAGATAATTTTGCAATCAAAAACTAATGATAAACAATAACTATATAAACGTTTTTCATTATTTACCATATTCTTCTTCAGAATTATCATCGTCAAACATCGGAGACCTTCGTTTTGTTGTCTCTTTTAATGTATTCTTGCTTGATCTCTTCTCATATGCAAGACGACTATTTTCAGAATGTTGGGTTACAGAATGGCAAGCTTGATCATAGAATTCTATGTCTGAAATTGTGTGTTCCTCGTTAGTCATATTAACTGAAATATCTGGAAAGAATTTTAATTCATATTAGAAAATCTAATTATATTTGCTGTTGACGGAATAAAAATAAATTCATTTTTAGTATTACTAGCAGAACCCGACGAAGTTATTTCCACAGAGAAGCCTTTCTTTTTTCTGATCGAGAAACATCTTGGTGTTTGTGAACAAAAGGCTCTGTTGCATGCGTATCATCTAAAGAGTCAGTGCAATCTGCAACATAGTAGAAAATTATATCAGTAATTCAAATTGTATCCATTGCAAAAGGGGGGGATTTATCCTCGAAACATAGCGAAGTGCGCCACTGCTATGCCCCCTGCGAGTTATTAAGGGTCCTTTTCCGGTGAACGAAGCCGGCGCTGACTTCCACAGGAGCAAACCTACCGCGATGACGGGAAAGGTGAACAGACAGAATCGAAATGAGTACAAAGAGGCGATCCCTTTTATTTACGCCAATAAAAGTTACAGCTACGGTTTCTTACAAACGCAATGGTGAGCGCGCTCGCTTAATCCCCAGAACGCGACAACAGACGGCGATTAGGAGCGTGATCGCTAGACTATTATACGCGACAAATGTACAATGATTAGGAGCGGATTCGCTCAACTAATAATCGCGACAACTTAATTCGCGGCGTTGTACCGGGCGAGAGCTGGTACGTGAGAGAGAGATCCGCAAAATAGTGAGGGAACAAACCCACCGGGTGGCTCCTCCCGCGGCTCGCTGGTGGAAAGCCGACGACGGCGAAATCGCAGTCCGGCTGACAGCGGGGCTCGCTGGATCACCGGCGGCGGCTGGTTGGCAGCTAGCGGCCGGGATCGGCTCCTCAATCGCTTTATGATGATCGTCGGGGGCTGCCCAAACAGCAGCCGGAGACTTGCCACACAAAGCCTTCTCTCGTCCTCGGGATTCCTCTCCCCTGGCGCGTCGTCTCTGACTTCTCTCGCGCCGTGACCTCCTTAACGTACGGTCACTCTCCAACTGTCCTCAATTTCTCCCGCTCTCATAATTCTCGCGGCGCGAGCCGCGCTTTCCGCGTTCTCGCCCAGTCTTCTTCCTCTCTCGCTCTCTCTCACGCTCTTCGCGCTCTCGCTTCTTCTCGCACCGTCTTCTCCGCCAGTCGCGCTCTTCCCTCTCCAGGCCCTGCAACGACACGAGCGCGTAAATGCCATGTCAACCATAGCCACGCTTGGCCGCTACATCCGTGCGAGGAGAGTGCCGCACTCAGGGTTAGCGAGCATCGCTATCAGCCCGGTCACACCATGTTGATTAATATATATATTACAAGCTGAGTTTATTACTTGATTCAAGAGCTGGAGCGATAGTAGTTTTTTGCGAGGCTGGCTTGTCCACATTTTCTTGAAATTGTTCAATTATTTGTTGAGCTTTCAACAATAGTTGTTCTTGTTTTTTCATTTTTTCTTCCATCATAGCTTGCTTCACATTCCATTGCTCTCTCATTTTTTCAATTTCTTTTGCTTGGTTCTCATTGCTTAGCTGTAAATCATTAATTACTTTATGTTGCTCGTATATAGCATCATCATCTTCATAAACTATCTTGTTCTTAGCCAGCTTGCTCAACTTTTGAGACAATATTTGCTCATCGTTCTTTTTTGATTGATTTTTGGCTTTTTCTTTAATAATCTAAAAAAATAGTAGATTTTCTTACAAGGGGGGAAGAAATAGTGTTTTTCTCTATCCCCGGGCGAAAGCGCGCTGATTATTTAATCGCTAAACTGGAAAATCACATATTGTCTACATTCTAACTGCTGTCAAGACTGCGCAGCCATGTTTTTACTTTCGCCCGATGCTTTGGTAGTCGTAGCGCCCTCGCGGTTATTTTTTATCAGTACTATATGAGCGATTCCACGTCAAGTCACCTAATTAAAAATTTTTTTTTTGATAGTGCCATATATATTGCATTATGTATGTAGATGATCTGTGCAAATTGTTAGATTTTTAAGCTTATAATTCGAATTTGAGAACATTTTGAAAATTGAGATTTTTTGAAATTTTGAAAAATCGCTCATTTTTATGACTGTTTTTTACTATGAAGGATCGATTTTAAGTGTAGGCATGTATGTACATAAAAAAATATCTACGTTTCTAGTAGATTATGAATATTATATCAGTTTTGCTTAGTATATATATGGAATAATATGGCACTGTCAACAAAATAAAAAATCAAAATTCTGATCCGGTGAAATAAGAAATACCTTTTCTATAGCTTTCAAATCGTGTGCCTGTTGTTTAGCAGACTTAGATATTTCTTGATCATGACTTTTATCACCAGACTTGGCTTGGGAAGCATTATTTTCTTTCTCCCTCTCCTTTTCAGCTACCTCTCTAGCAGCCACAATTTCCGACATTACGTCACTTCTTCTTTTATTGTCAAATATGCGTCTCTTAGGAGGATCTAGCAGAGCATTTATGTCATCTACAATATAATAATCATGTCAACAATTAATTCACTAATATAACTTACACAAGAGAGTCCCTTCCATGAACAACCATTACAAATATAATGTTTTCAAAATTACTTTTCTATCATATAATAATATAAAAGTCTTTCACCTGAAATTTCAAACACTTGAATTGGAACCTCTACCTTCTTGCCACCAACTAACTCAAACACTGTATGTGGAATATCAAAGTTGAAATTTTCAACGTCTGTAAAGTCCGTAATGAGGGCTGGGTCTATCAAAACAACTTTGTTTTTGGCATTAGGGTTAAAGTAACGGACAGCTGCTTGCAGCTTCCTCTCACTTGCATGTGACATGATGCTTTCTACCTAATTAATGTTATTCACAAAATTACTATGATATTTATCATATTAAAGAACTGTTATTCGAGTAAAATTATATATCTTCACTACACTTTAACAATAAATCTTACAATGGACTATTCGTTGCAGTAACATAACATACCAGGGTATGTTTAGTGTAACCATGGTAACGGATTTTTTTTTTTCGGCGATTCTACTACAGATTATTTCGATTTAGTTTTTTTTAGCATTTTTTTATCGGCGGTGGCGTTTCGACCGACTATTTTTTTTTATCACGACTTAATTTATGAACGTTTTTACCTACAAATTAATCAAGTACTCAGGTTTGAATTTCGAGTTTTGCGAAACTAGTGCAACTTTGAATGTTCAAAGGAAATTAAAATTTATTTGAATTTCAATAATATGTTTACCTACAAATTTGTCTCTCCTCTCTGGGTTTGAATTTTGAATTTGGAAAACTAAAATGAATTTGAATTTCTGTAATAGCTTACCTACTGATTTTTCCCTTCCCCCTGGGTTTAAATTTTAAATTTTGAGAAACTAAATTGAGTTTGAATTTTAATAATAAGTTTATCTACTGATTGCTCTCTCGCCATGGGTTTGAATTTTATATTTGGAAAATTTTCTGAGTTTGAATTTTAGTAGTATGCTTATTTATTTATTTTTCAACCCCTTGAGTTTGAATTTTGCAATTTACAATACTAAAATGAATGTGAATTGTAATAATATTCTTACATATTTATTCCACCCCCTCACGTTTGAATTTCAAGTTTTGCGAAACTAGAATGAGTTACAATTCATAATATTTTGTTTATACTACCGAGCGCCTTCAATGTAAACGTACGTAACCTTCTAAAAAAATCTAGAGTATAAAATTTTTTAGACTTAACCCTACCTCTTTTTTCAAAAGTCTAGAGTCGAGGATTATTATCAGGGAATAACTGTTTTATTTTCGTGTGTTATGAAAAATGTTGCATGAATGAGAATAATTGTATCATTTACATAAAATGAAACGATCAAGGACATCAGAGTGGAGGCGTAAATCAAGATTCCCTTTGAATCATCACGAGTACAGTAGTGATGAAGAAGATAATGAGTAATACCGAACAGTGAGTTATATTCGTTTTCAACATTTATCAAATTGCTATAGTTGCAACGGGTACCTGGCGAAGAGCTCAAAAGTACAATTTGATATTTTTATTGTATCGATTTCGCCAGTTTCTGTTGTACGGTGGCATTGAAAAGTCTCAGTCTTCAAGAAAATG